AACCTTTTTGTGTGCTGTGATCATTTTTACTTACATGCCTTTTAAATAGAAATTTTTGAGTGAAAAACTGCAGTTCTTCTATGCTACCACTTGGTGATAGTATCACTCCATACTTAGACAGTATATTATCCTTAGAGCTAGGAGAATGCTCCTGAGGGTATTTTCATATGTGGTTGATGAGGTTGGAAAGGCTGCTGTGTGGGCACATTAAAAATGTATATGAAGACTATCAAAGATCATAGAATCTGAGAACTGAGAGGAACCTAAAAAATCTTCAAGTCCAGAAGACTCTAGTCTAGTCTGGTCTAGAGTTTTTAACCTAGAGTCTGTGAACTTTAAAAAAAAAACTTGTATTTTGATAAAATTGGTTTCCTTTGTAATCCTATGCATTTTATTTTATGTATTTAGTAACATTATTCTGAAAAAGGGTCCACAGATTTTATCAGACTACCAAAGGGTTTTGTCTATGAGAGAAACCGAAGTTCAGAGAAGTTTAATGACTTGGCCAATGTCACTTACTTCATTTAGCAGTAGAGCTCTGAAACGGGAATTTCAAGATTTTTTAACTTCTGGTCCAATGCTCTTTCTGTTGTAGCCATTGTTTGGATGGCCATTGGATGAATGCTCTTTGTGGCAGTCATCTATTTACCTGTAGCCTGGTTGTGCACTCATCCATCCAATCATCCATCCATCCTTCCATTCATTAAGCACTTAGGGAACTGCAACTTGTGCAACAGACAGTATGAGGTGCCCTGAGAGACACAGTAAGGAGATCTGTTCTACATCCCTCAAGAACACTCTAGTTGGAGATTTAAGGTATATATGCAAAATATTGTAATACACATTAGTCCTAAGGACCAGGAGAAAGTTATAAAGTGTTAAAAAAAAATTACCTGAATAAATACACCCCAAATCTAAAGGCTAATGTGGAAACTAATTACTGCACATTAGTGATATCTGTGAGCATCTGTTCCCAAAGCTATGCTGAATAGTCTTGAATTTAGCTTCCATGTGCAACTATGGACAGGGATTTTGTGAGGTTCAAATAACAGTTGTAAAAAGCACTTTGCAAATGTTAAAGTGCTATATAAATGCCAGTTATTATTCTTAGCCTCCAGTCACTAGGACTCCAATCTTGCGATGAGTTAATTCTCTGAGCTTTCTAGTACTCTTGCTGGACTCTTTATAAAGTAATGCAGAGATGTGCTGGTATATGTTTAATAACAGGGCGGGAGGAGTGGGGAGAACTGTACACCTATCCTGTTAAGTTTACTCTGTGTTAATACTGTAAATCTAGATGATCAACAAAAGAACAACTCTGGACGCTGATTTGTAGAGGTTGCTGATTTCTAAGGTATAAATGCTTACACTGAGAACTGAATAATCAGAGCTGGCTCCAGCTCACTCCTGCCCTTGTCCATCATACAGTTGACCCTTATTCAGTTCCATTGAGTGATCTGCTATCAAGCTTTTTCTGAGCAGCATCATATGATTCAGAAGGAAATTAGAAATTATCTGGTCCAACCCCCTCATTTTATAGTTGAGGGAGAAGTCCCATAGCTAGGAAGCAGTAATGATTCAATTCTACTTCCCTTAATTGGATTTGGATCCAGTATTTTTTGCTTTCTCCTTTTATTCTCATTTTGGGGTTACATGCAACATATAGGACCTTCATCCACACTCCTGTGGGGCAAAAAGAAAAAAAAAAGCAGAGTCTGAGTGAATGTTAAATGTGACTTTTAGGTGACTCTTTCAATGAAGATGAATTTTTACTTTTCTGGCAGAAAGAATTGGATAGAACCATGACTATAAAACTTTGGTTTGGGTCTGGAGATAGACTTTGTACCTGAAAAAAACCTAGGTATTTATTGCTTTCACATATCTTCAAAACTGGACTTATCCAGCAGGTCAGATTTCATCCTAATGGATCCTTATGGAATTAAAAAAAAACGTTTTCCAGAAGTCATTGAACTGGTGGGAAAAAGAGAGCAATTGTAACCTTATGGTACTGGTGGTTGGGTAGGAGAAATTATTATTTAATGCTTTAATGACTTAAATAGCTTCTTTTGAAGCAGTTTACCAGTGTTATCAAAACATAGACCTTAATAATTGTGGACTAGTGTTGTGAAAGGAAGTTAGAGAAAAGATCAAGCAGTCTTAGTGAATAAAAACCTGCCTATGCACAACAATGCAATGCTGTAATTAAAAATGCAGTCATAGCACTAGGGAGTATACAAAGGAGAATCTAAAGTAGTAACCAAAAAGTGTTTCTCTTAGTATGCTCAGCAATGATCCAGTCAATTTCTCTTTTTGGTTTTCTTTTCTTTTTTTTTTTAGGCAGTTGGGGTTAAGTGACTTGCCCAGGGTCACACAGCTAGTAAGTGTCAAGTGTTTGGTCTGAGGTCAGATTTGAACTCAGGTCTTCCTGACTTCAGGGCCGGTGCTCTATCCACTGCACCATCTAGCTGCCCCCAGTCAATTTCCTAATAAGAGTTTTGTGGACAGTTTTGGATTCAGTTACTAAAAAGGATACATGATGGAGTCACATCATGCATGCATTTAACTTATGAATTCAACTGTAATTTGTGTGTGTGTGAGAGAGCAAAAAACACACAGAGACGGAGAGGGAGAGGGAGAGAAAGAGGGAGAAAGAGAGAGAGAGAGGGATAGACAGAGAGAAGGAGAGAAAGAAAGAGAGGGAGAGAGAGAGAGAGAGAGGAGAGAGAGAGAGAGAGAGAGAGAGAGAGAGAGGGAGGGAGGGAGGGAGAAAGAGAGAGAGGGGGAGAGAGAAGGAAGGAGAGAGAGGAGAGAGACAGAGAGAGAGAGGGAGAGAGACAAAGAGATAGAGAAAGAGAGGAAGAGAGAGAGACAGAGACAGACAGACAGACAGACAGAGAGCAAACAATTTAGTGTATGGCAATAAATATCCCTAATCATCACACAACTTGTACTTTAATTAACAAATGCCCCAGAGTGAACATGAGATGGGAGACATATATCTGCTTTTTTTTTTCAGCCAGTGTCATTTCTTAATGTCTCTCATAGTACAAGCATCTTACCCCTCCCTAAACGTAGTATGATTCTAGAATCTTATCCTTATCATACAATCATTTAATTCTTCTTAGGCTTGTTGAGCTAATGAGGGACAGTCTTAATCGGCCTTCCCAGCTAGATCACAGGTAATGATAATAATAGCTAGCATTTACATAGGACTTTAAGGTTTGCAAAACATTTTAAATACATTGTCATTTGAGCCTCAGGACTATCCTGTTAGGAGGTGCTATTATTATCTCCATTTTTAAAAATGGGGAAACTGAGGATCAGAGATGTTAAATGACTTTGTTCAGAGTCACACAGCTCATAAATGTCTGAGGTGGGTTTTTAAACTTAGGTCTTCCTGACTTCAAATCCTGGGCTCTATCCACAAGAGTCATGCTCTCTCTCTAAATCTAGATCTGGCTTCCTGGTTCTGGTAAAATGTCTCTGCTGTGCTTGTTCTGACTTTCTTGCCTTGGGGTGAAGCAAGAACAGAATTTTTTTTTTTAGAAAGCATCCTCTAATTATAGTCACACTTATGTATGAAGTCTTTCCTAAGAGTATTTTCACTGTAATGATCAGTTTTCCCAGTAACTATGGTTTTTTTTCTGTTTTTGTTTTACTCCATTTGAACAGAAATTCTGCTTCCTGCCTCCAAATCAATACATTTACCTGGTGTAGTGAAAAATAAACTTACTTTTAATTGTTTCCATACCAAATAGCTCAGATCTTATTGCTCTCTGATATAGACTCTACCCCACCTCCTTTAAAAAAAAAAAGACACTCTATCCCCTTTCTAGTTAAAACTGTTTCAAAGCACCATACTGTACTTTATGGGTGATTTAAGGGATTTTCAATGATACTCTGGCCTATGTGAAATTTTCACCTCCTGTTCAGACTAAGAAATCTAAGATGCAACTTCATTGCAGAGAACTCCAGTTGGAGATGCATACCTTGACTAAAGAATTGGAAATGAAAATTCTAAGGGAAGGTTAAAGGAATTGGAATTATTCCCTCAAGAAGATAAAGCCAAGAAGGGATTTATGCTAGTCTTAAGCAAAGGGATTTATGCTGGTCTTATGCTGTTAGGCAAAAGAGACTTGTTATTTTTTTTTCCTTTTCCATCTCCACTGAGTACAGAACAAGAAGGTATGAGCTAAAATGGCATGGCACAAGATTTACATTAGACATAAGGAAGACATAAACTTTTTCCACAATGAGAGTTACTAAATGGTAGAATATGTTAAGGAAAGCTATGAAATCACATTTTGGGGGGATATTTGTAGGATTTAAAGAGAATATAGTTCAAATTCCTCGTTTTACAGACAAAGGAAATGCAGCCCAAAGACATGAAGCAACATGCTCACAGTCAGGTACAGAACCCAGGTCCTCTGACTAGAGCCTCAGAACTAAATCTCCATCCCTCCTTCACCCCCTCCCCCCTCCCCTAAACTTCTTCCCCACAGAGCTCCCACACGAGAGAAAGAGCACTTTCTCTCCATGGCAGTGAGCTGACAGAGGATGAAGTGAGACAAATTATCTACTTGAGGAATAAATGGACCATCCCCATGTCAGTTTACACCCTCCTTCCTCCATCCCTAATTCATCACTCAAAGCCAACATGATCTTACTGTCATCATGTCCCTTTTCTGGAGCATTCCTAGGGGAGTGGGAACTATTCTGTTGCTCCAAAGCAATGAGGATTCCCCCTTTGCTCCAAAGTGGGGTTATATTATCAGAAATCTGGTAATCTAAATCTAGTCTGGGGACCCACACAATGTGGGATGCCCAGAATCCAAAATGAGAAGGCATGAATAGGTACAGTTTGTACCACTAAAGGAGTACCCACATAGATGAGATCAAAGATCCAGCGAGGTAGTAACATACCTTGATATCAACATAATCAAAAGAGTTTTTAAAAAAAATTCAGAGTACCCTCTTCTACTTCTAGAGTAAGACTATGGTTTCATTACATTAGGTAGCTTTATTTAGATACTGGTTAAGGACCCAACAGGAGTGCTTTCTAGAAGAGTGTTTTTTGTTTGTTTTTGAAGAAAGGAATTCTTTGTTGTGTTGTTTGTCTTTCTTGGAAGATATAAATAGGTACATCTAGTCATTGTAAACAAATCCTCAACTGAATAGCTAGTAAAGTTCAGAAGTAAAAAAAAAACCCATCGCATTCAAAATCCTTTGTGCTCCTTGTATTATCCTGAACAATTTGTTCCATCTTTGGGGCTGGGTACCAAGCCAGAAAATGACAAAAATAGTTTTGCTGCATCACTAAGGTTGCTCCATCTTTGAAAGCCACAGTATTTATACCCCACACCTCCACTCCCTATTCAACAGCTGCACTTAGCATGAGAACAGTGAATACTGGACACTGCTGATATTCCCTTTCTTTTCCTCTTGGACTCCAATTTCACACAAAGAAGTAGACATTACAGTGCTTAGGAAACATCCTTTTGCTCCTCTTGCAAAGCTTTGGATGGCTGGGACTCTTTTCCTTCCAACACTATATCCTCTGCGTCTTCCTCTTTCACTGCTGCATTGGTTACTGCCTCTTCCTCCTCTGGTGGTTTATCCTGCAATTCTTTCTCTGGTTCTTGCAATGTGACTTTTTTTGTTTCTCTTCCCTCCCTTGGTTTAAGCTCCATGTCCTCTGTTACTTCCACAATGGTCACTCTTGGTTTTTGTTCTTTTTCCTTCTTCGGTTTAGACTCTGTGTCCTCTATCGGTTTAGACTCTGTGTCCTCTATGGCTTTAGACTCTGTGTCCTCTATGGCTTTAGACTCTGTGACCTCTATGGCTTTAGACTCTGTGTCCTCTATGGCTTTAGACTCTGTGTCCTCTATTGCTTTAGACTCTATGTCTTTCCTAGTTTTAAACTTTCTCCCTGCCTTTTCTTTCAGAATGGACTTTCTTACTTTTGGTTCTTTCTTCTGCAGCTGATTTACTTCTTCTTCTTCTTTCATTTTGATCAATGTTTTTACTTCCTGCAGCATTTTACTCTCTGTTTCTAATTCTACTTCCAACTTTGCCACTCTTGATTTTACATCCTCCAACAGCCTAAACCCAATCTCTTGTATTTCTTCTTGAACTAATTTATATTTTCTCTTTTCTTCCTCTTTTATTAGCTTACTTATCATATCTTCCTCTTTTTCTGGTGTGGATAATTTTGTTTTATCTTCCATCTCATTTATGTTATTCTTCTCATTCATGTCATCTTGTTTCTGCTTGATATCTTCGGATATTACTTCATCTTCCATGTCACTGTCCCAGTCTTCTACCCTTCTTTGCCTAAGCTTTAGTAGTCTTTTCCTTGGTGTTATCCTCCTCGGTCTTATTTCATGCTGTAACAAAAAGATATGTGTTAGAAATATACTTTCTTTGATTTAGTCAGAATGTTTAGTAAATTAGTATTTTTATATAATAGACATTTTTGTTTAATCTAGGGTTAAGCAGAAAACACTTCTTAGCTTCAACTCAATTGTTAAGACTTTCTGAAATATATTTAATATATACTTTTGACTAATAAACACACTGTGATAAATACAGGGTGTCCCAGACATCTTAGTGCAATTTTAAGCTATTAAAGTTATTAGGAAGTTAAAGCTTAAAACTGCACTAAGATGTCTGGGATACTTTGTATAACTGAATCTTTTAAGATGATACTCTTTGAGGGTTTTTTCATCAGAAAGATTACATTAAGCATCAACAGTTGTTGTACTATGTTATAGACATAGAAAGTTGAATTAAATCCCTTTTGATATCTTGATGGAAGATGTCTGTAATTTGATTACTAAATGATTGATGAAAGTCTGTTTTCTCATAATGTATCTCTTTTCCCTAAAAGTAAAAATTCCGGTTAACTGGAGATCTCAGGTAGTAGAGGTATCTTTATTTGGCTTCACTGAAGCATCTTGCAGTATTCCTTGGCAAATATTCCAATATAAGGGCAGTTGCTGTCATTTTTAATAAATGTCTATTGAACCAAATGAAAGTTAACTAATCACTAACTTGGGAATTAGGGATGGAGTGTGGGATAGTTGTGAAAGGAATAGAGAATTAAAGTCCTTCCCTTAAAACAGAGAAGAAAAATACTCATAACACTTCTCAATGTAAAGTTTCAGCTGGCACAAATAAGCAGCAGACATCCTTTTTTTCTTTTTTTAAATTTATTTTTAGTTTTCAACATTCACTTCTGTAAGATTTTGAGTTCTAAATTTTTCTCCCTCCCCTCCCCAAGATGGCGTGCAATTTGGTATAGGCTATACATATATATTCATATTAAACATTCCACATTAGTCATGTTATAGAGAAGTAGAACCAATAGGAGAAATCATGAGAAAGAAGAAATGAGAGAGAGAAAGAGAGAGAGAGAGAGAGAGAGAGAGAGAGAGATAGAAAACACAAATGCTTCAGTCTGTACTCAGACTCCATAGTTCTTTCACTTACCATCAGTTCATGTAAGTCTTTCTAGGTTTTTTGAAGTCTACCTGCTAATCATTTCTTACAGAACAATATTACTCCATTATATTCATATACCACAACTTATTCAGCCATTCCCAATTGATGGACATCCCCTCAATTTCCAATTCTTGACTACCACAAAAAGAGTTGCTATAAATATTTTTGCACATGTGGGTCCTTTTCCCCATTTTTATGATCTCTTTGGGATACAGACCTAAATGGGTATTGCTAGGTCAAAGGGTATGCACGGTTTTATAGTCCTTTGGGCATAGTTCCAAATTGCTCTCCAGAATGGTTGGATCAATTCACAACTCCACCAACAATGCATTAGTGTTCCAGTTTTCTCACATTTTCTCCAACATTTATCATTTACCTGTTTTGTCATGTTAGCCAATCTGAGAGGTGATGTGGTACCTCAGAGTTGTTTTGATTTGCATTTCTCTAATCAATAGTGATTTAGAGCATTTTTCATATGACTATAGATAGTTCAAATTTAGAAGGAGATGTCTTCAGGAAAGTAAGAATTGTAATCACTTACCTTCTGAGAGAATTTATACAGTTCTAATAATATAACTACATGAGAAGAGGCAAATGATGGTTCTTGTTTTTCGTCCATCAAGTGTAACCATAAAATGCACACATCAATTAAAAGAATTGGGTTCTTGGGATGAATCCAAGAAAATCGTAACTTTTCTAATTTTATGTTAGGGTTCTACAAATTGATTAGTTGTGTGCATTATGAGACTAGCAAAAATCTAAGTTCCATACCACTATTCAATGCTGCTGTCAGAGAAAGTCAATTTCTTTAACTTTTTGGTTTGGACTGATGGCTAATTGGTGGAGTCACTCAATTACACAGGGTGACTCAAGATTCTTTTCCCACGTTAATACTCCTGAAGAGCTAAATTTCTTGTTGCTTCTAAACCTGTAGCATTTAAGAAGCTTGCTTTTTTTCTCTTCTTTTTAGGAAGAATATAACTTTTTTAAAGGGTATTCCCTTTTTGAGATGTTATAATTTTCTCTTTATTTTGAAACTAGCTAAGGTCTTGCATTCTGAAGCCTGTGTACATAATATTCAGTCAAAATTAGTGGCAGGTCAAATAAAGTGTATTTTTCTTATGTTTCCATGATCATCTCTGCTCTCTGCTTTTCCTACTTTCTCTCTTTTTTTTTTGTTTCAGCCATCGTCTGTCTTGCATCCTTTGTGCCATATCTTTTTTACCTATTATACAAGAAGACCATGGGATAATACATAGATTTAGCATGCCAACAACAATGAAGACATGGAGCTGAAACACAACCAAATAAATTGCAAGCATCTCCTTCACTTCAGCCAAAACAAATACATTTGTTATCAGCACCAATAGGGACTAGTTCTTCGTTATCAACATACAGAGCTCTTGGCTAGATGACTGAAGGTCTTAACTTTGTAATGTATGCAGTTTGAGGACTTGAATGCATAGTACACAAGATTTTTAGAGATTGCTTATGAACCATTTTAATGTAACAATGCAGAGTGCCTGATGAATTAAATTTTCCAAATGCCATAGTAACTCCTTAGTTATAAATTGAGCACTTTTATAAATAACAATTCTTTCAGGCCCATAAGATATAATTTGTAATAGTAGTATAAAAATTATCCCAGGAACCTGAGAGGGGAACTGGTACTTTGAAAATAAATAACTCAGAAAGAGCTGCACTTAGGCCATAAAAGAACTAATGACTACTATGAACACTGTTGGTTTGGCCTTGTATTTGTATTCTGAAATGCAATCTGAATTTCAAATGTTAAGCCTTCTTTTGCAAGGTCTCATAAAAAGGTCTGGCCATGCATGCAGACAGATAAAGTGAAGTAGAGGGTTATGCAGCTTTATAAAGAGCATGATTACTGTGAATAAAACCAATTAAGAGAATCTAAAGCTGCCCTTCACCCATCAACTTTTTCTTTAATTAAAATTGGGATATGAAGGGGGTCTCAAAAATACAAATAATAAGAGGTAAATCATTGCTTTGCTTAGCCTTTGTGGACATAGTTTATTAATAGCATATCCATTTTAAGTCTCTTTTCAGTCACATAACATACTCTCTAAAGTGTTTTGCAAGTGTTTGTGTTTACATGCAAAGATATCTCACTGCATTCATTCCTTTCTCCCACCCCAGAAAAATGTCTGTCTCTATACATTATTACTATAAATATTCTGTTAATAATTTCAATATTAAACTTTAACAAGTTTTGTAAATGCTTATTCCTGGGTGGGATACCTATAAGATGCTTACATAATACAGATGTTGATTGCTTATATATGCATAAAAGTGATGAATCTGGTTGAAGCAAAATAGAAACTTCAAGTAAATATACATTAAAAATGAAAAGAAAACAACACTTCCAAAGCTTACCACTAAATGAGAGCAACAACATGTTTGTGGAATTTCAGTTGTACTGTCACTGAAGTTTTCTTCTACTTCCCAGTCTTCACAGCATCTTTGAAGTGGATACCAAGACAGATAGCTTGCAAATCTTTCTTGAAAGGATCTGTTTTCTCTGTCTATTCTCTGAAGTTCTCTTTCTCTTCTAGCCCTGTTTAAATTCAAAAAGTCAAAACTGTTAATTCAGATACAGTTAAACACCTTAAATCAAGGGTCCAGTACCACAAAATTAATGAATTACCAAAATCTTTGTAAATAAACTCATGTACTGAGACTTTAAGATGCCTTCAAAAGATAACTTTTCCTCTTTGTTATCTAATTAACTAACAGCTTGATTTTTTGGGCTACATAATGATCAGTGAAAAATAGATGACATTTATATAGTGCCTTGTCTATTGTACATACATTAGCTCATTTGATCTTCAAATAACCCTGTGATGGTCCGTATTTTCCTTTATGTTTATCTGTTAGATTTGTCCAACTCTGAGACAGGAACATTATGTCTCCTATTTTATCATGTTGCTATCCATATATTTTTTGTAATTAAATTAATTTTTCCTCTGTGAGTTTAGATCTGCCATTGGATGCATATATGTTCAATATATTGTCTCATTGTCTATGGTTTCTTTAAGCATAATATAGTTTTCTTTTACATCTCTGTTAATAGTGTGATTTTTATTTTTCGTCAGGCAACCTAATTGCAACTCCTGGTTTTTTTTTTATTCACCTAATGCAAAGTTCTAATCTTTCGTTTTGATTCTGTATGTGTCTTACTTTTTTGGTGGGTTTCTTGTATGCAGTGGATTTCTGGGTTCTATTTCCTTAGCCATTATCACTCTTTCATTTTATTAGGATTATTTAACCCATTCACATTTATAGTTTTATTAGGCTTTTGTTTTCTCCCATTTGTTTCTTTAGTATTAATTTTAAATTCTCTTCTTTTTTGTCAGTAATTTATCCTTGAGTTAGTTTTGCTTAAATTACTTTGATGTTAATCTATTTGCAAAAGCTCTGCTCCCTTTCCCCACTCTCCTTTGCCTACCATTTTCTAAGTTATTAGGTTTTACTTAAATTACAAATTATTTTTATTTTATTTATTTGTTGCTCCCCCTCTTTTGTACCTTGTCTTTCTCCATTCTGTTAAGTAATTAGTTCAAAATCTTTCCTTCCTCTCCAAACCCTTTATTTTCTTTTCTTTTACTGTGCCTTTGTCTGTGAAGTTTTTCTTTGTTTTGTTCTCTTCATTATTTCTTTTCCCTTCCATTCTCTTCAGAATTTTATTTTCTGCTCTGTGGGCTATACATTTATTTGTTTCTTCTTTATTATTTCTGTCACTTCCATTGGGTTAAAGCTTCTGAAGTACCAGGTTTGAACTGCATCTTCTAAATGGTAACTATATTGTTACATGTAGATCTTGCCTCATCCTTTTATTTTTCTGCTCAGCTTCCTTCTTAGAAATGATTCAGGAGGAAAGCAAAATCAACTGGAAACAGTGCCAGATGGCATAAGTTACTTTGTTTCCCAGTCTCCCTATTTTTCAGAATCTTCAGAATGATCATTCTCCTTCCCAAAGGTCATATTATATCTGGTTCCATTTCTTACCTCCATTATTATGAGTGCTATGTGTCCTTAAGAACAGATATATCTCACCCAGCAAAACTGAGCATAATCCTTCAGGGGAAAAAATAGATATTCAGTGAAATAGAGGACTTCCAAACATTCTTGATGAAAAGACCAGAGCTGAATAGAAAATTTGACTTTAAGATACAAGACTCAAGAGAAACATGAAGACGTAAATAGGAAAGAGAAATCATAAGAGACTTATTAAGGTTGAACTGTTTACATTCTGCAGGGAAAGATGATATTTGTAACTCATGAGTCCTTTGCCAGTATAAGAGTAGTTGGAGGGGAAAAAATTATATGTAGATAGATAGATAGATAGACAGACAGACAGACAGATAAATAGAGGGCACAGGGTGAGTTGAAGATGAAGGGATGATATCTGGAGAATAAAATTAAGGGGTGAGAGAGGATTATACTGGGAGAAGGAGAAAGGGAAAGGTAGAATGGGGTAAATTATCTCACATAAAACAGACAGGAAAAGGCTTTTACAGTGGAGGGGAAATGGGGGGAAAGTGAGAGAGAATGATTGAATCTTATTCTCATTGGATTTGGCTTAATGAGAGAATAACATACACACTCAATTGGGTATGGAAATCTATCTTACCCTACAGAAAATAGAGGGGGAAGGGGACAAGAGAGCAGGAGGATGATAGAGGGGGAGGGCAGATTGGGGGAGGAAGTAATCAGAAGCAAACACTTCTAGAGAGGGACAGGGTCAAAAGAGAAAATAGAATAAATGAGGGGCGAGATAGGATTAAGGGAAATATACTTAGTTTTTCACAACATGTGCATGACAACACATGTTTAACTTGCTTGCCTTCTCAATGAGGGTGGGTGGGGAGGGAGGAAGGAAGAAAATTTGGAACCCAAAATTTTAAAAAGAAAAGATAAAAAAAAATTTGTTTTCACATGCAACTGGGAAATAAGATATGCAGGAAATGGGGTATAGAAATCTATCCTGGAAAACTGAAAGGGAAGGGGATAAGAGAAGGGGAGGAGAGATAGAAGGGAGGGCAGATCAGGGGTATTCAGAATGCGTGCTATTTAGTGGGGGGAGGGACAAGATGGGGAGAAAATTTGGAACTCAAAATCTTGTGGAAGTGAATGTTGAAAACTAAAAATAAACAAATTAATTTTAAAAAAACAAAATTAAATATATCTCTTTATATCTATATCTATATCTATATCTATATCTATATCTATATCTATATCTATATCTATATCTATATCTATATCTATATCTATATCTATATCCATATCCATATCTATATCTATATCTATATCTTTTCCTACAGTGAGATGCTGCTCATGGAGGGTCAGCTCTCTTGGAAAAGGTGTCCTCTCAATGTACAAATTCCCTCAGACTAAGCCTGCCATGATGTTCCTTTCTCCCATCATAAACACATATCTTCTCCCCCATGGGAATGCTCTTCAACAGGGTCTAGTCTTCTTCCCCCTCCCCTTCTGGTGAAACCTTTCTTTCCAGTCTCCCAGTCTCAGTCCTTCCCTCTGTCACTTCTCCCACCCTCCCATACTCCCTTACCCTTGACATTAATCTATAGGAATCAGCATCTCTTATTGTTTACACATGAATTTTGTAGGTGTACAATACCTGTTCCCTTTTGTCCCCTACCTTGCTCTCTCCCCATTTACACAAACTTCTACTCTTCAGCTTCTCTCTATGGATTCCTGTAGGAGGGATCAGGGATTTAGGTATTTAGTCCATGGTACTTTATTTCAGATATTTGCTTCTCCTGATCTTTAGGTTCCGCTTAAATCTTTGTGACCTTGTGTCCTTTGAAGAAAAATCCTTTGAATGGTCTCTCTTAGTTCTTTAATTTATTTCACAAATCAATCTCTCCTTTAAGAAAACCCAATAACCTCTAAATATGAAACAATTTCTTTCATTCTTTTCTTACTAGGTGGTGCAGTGGGTAAAACACTGAGCTTGGAATCAGGAAAACTCATCCTTCTGAATTCAAGTCTGGCCTCAGACACTTACTAGCTTTATGACCCTGGGCAAGTCACTTTTGGGTTCTAGATTAAGATCCTTTGCTTTACAGAATATACCATGCCATTGCTTTTTTTGTGATTTCTCCTCACTTTGGAATAGCTCTTCGTTCTTTAAATTTTGCGGCAGCTAGGTGGGGTAGTGGATAGAGCACCAGGCCTGGAGTCAGGAAGACCTGAGTTGAAATTTGGCCTCACACACTTATGAGCTGTGTGACCTGGACAAGTCACTTAATCCTGTTTACCTCAGGTGTCTCACCTGTAAAATGAGTTGGAGAAAGAAATGGCAAACCACTCTAGTATCTTTGCCAAGAAAACCCCAAATGGGGTCAAGAAGAGTCAGACATAACTGAAACAACTGAATAACCACAAATCTAAATTTCTGTAATTTTTGAAGGTCTTTCTCTAGACTGCTTGTAAAATTCATTGTTTTCACTGAGATTGTTCAATTAGAGTTTGATTCACTTTTTTTTCATGGTGTTGATCTGCGGATTGTCTTGATTGACTCCTTAGCTATATTCAGAAGTTCTAGATGCTTTCTTATGTATTTCCTGCATTATGGCATTAAGGTTTTCAGATTTGTCACATTCATCTAGGAGACCTGTGATCCTTACATTATCTTCGTGTATCCTGTCTAAAGGTCTCCTGATTCCTTCCCCTATTCTTTTCTGTGAATAGGCAGAATCAGTACTTAAGTGGATGATGAGGTGTTTGGATAGAGTCAATGAAGTAGCAAAGGATCTCAAAGGCTTGAGGCACATGTTGCTGAGTATGCATGTACTCACTGCTGGTACAGGTGCATAGAGGCTGGTTGGAAAGGAATGCTGAAAGGGTCTGTGTTAAAAATGTATTTTGTTCTGGTCCCCCTGACCACTCCCACTTTTAGTCGGTTTAGTAAGTTTAAAGTAGCAAAAACAGGAAATAAGATTGCAAACAGGGACTTGGAAGTCACGTACAAATTGTCCCAAAATTAAAGTAGCGTACTTTACAAACTGTATCATATATTAACCAAAATTCACATCCTAGTATGTATCAAATCAGGAGAAATCATCTAGGTGCTGCTTGTCTAAGTACTGGCATATGATATGTAAATCCCAGACAAAATCCAGCCCTCCACAGCTCCAGACCAGCAGAACATGAAAAAGATGTTAACTTTGAGATGATTTGAAGTTTTACCAGTAACTTTGAGAGAATTTGGATATGTTAATGAACTAACTCCAAGGTGGTACAGATAGGAGTTGGCCTCCCCTAACAAATACTATAAAAAATGAGACCTCAGACGTCTGCTCTGCCTCCTCTCCCCGACTAGCCTAGCTCTCTTCCCTCTCCATCGGCTCCATGCCACCTAGTGCTCCCAAATCTAATCCGGGGTTACATGAGTTATATTCTCTGCCCCTCCTCCTCCATACCCTTCTTCCCATGCTGCCTTCCTTCACCAACCCATTCCTTGTCTTCATGCTGCCATCTACCTCTTTCGTCATTTGTCTCTTCCTGGGCATTTTGCCCGCATAGTCTCTG